ACTAGAGGCAGGAGCTGTTCATTAATGTTAGCACACCTTTTGTTCTGCCCTGGTATGAAGGGATTTAAATGAATCAGTGAGCCTTACCTAAGGCTGGGCAGTTTCAGCACGACTTATGGGATCTGAATGTGGTTTAATATCAAACATGGAATCCTGCAGTGTAGTGGTTAGAGCACTCGCCTCGCGAGCAAGCGAGAGGACCCGGTCCGATTCCTGGGAAGGGCGAAACTTTAGGCAAGTTTCCTTACTCCACACCCCTCTGTCTACCCAGCAGTAAATAGGAACCCGGTTGTTAGTCGTTTGGTGGATTCTTTTCCGGGCGTAATAATCTCTTCTCCCCCACCATCCCGCCAAAAAAAGAGTCACTGAATCCACGACTGTTTGTGGGACACTGCTGTGTGCAATCTGCTGCCGCGTTTTGCCCACAACATACACAGTCACTCCATTTTACAGCGTATCCTGTGAAGCGCTTTGAGTGTATTCTGTCAATGGCGTGATGAGGTGCTATATCAAATGCAAGGGTTATTATTATTAGTAAGAATAACTAAAGGCAGAATTTCCACTCAACACTAGAAGGTTGAATTCAATTCCAAGGCACTTTGAGACGTCCTCCTGACATGAAAGACGCTGCAGAAACATAAATTGTATTGCACTGAAAAACAAAGAGCAAACATGTCTGGCAGGATAAATCCACAATAAAATGTGCCAGTGTTTTGCTGACACTGAGAGAAACTCCTTTCTCTTTTTGATTAAGTCTCCTGGGATCTATAACATCACCTGACAGCAGACCGAGCCTCGGTTTAACATCGCTTCTCATTTCACCCAGGCAAAAATTGATGGTTATAATGGAACTGAATATTAATGTGAGCACCACCTTCAGGAGAGATGAGGAGACAGAACTTTCCACATGGACCCAGCGTTCTCGCTTTCAAACCCTCCACCGCCTTGCGCCTCCCTACCTGTGACCTGCTAACCCCATACTGGCCTGCACAACCCCTCCACTCAGTGGATTCTGACTTGCTCCATGTCCCACCCCACCACCGGCGGTCAGACCTTCAGCCTCTCTGCACCCCCCCACCCCTAATATGTTGTTGTGAGAAACTAACCCAGAGTGGCAGCTCGGCTCGATCACTGGGCTACCCGAAAAGCTGTGAGCAAGTGCTTCAGACCCTTTACCAATTCATTACCAATTCCAGTCTTGTCTGTGGATCGGATGTCAGCCTGAGCTCAGATAGCTAACTTGCTGGAAGTTGGGACCTGTTTGGATGTGGTGGGTTCCTTCGAGCTGTGTTGCACTGCCACCAGCTGGCTACGATCGTCAGTGAACAGCAATTCCTCAGGTTCTATTGAGACGGGCCTTGAAGGAGGCAATACTAATAATAATAATAATACTTGCATTTGATATAGAGCCTCATCGCTTCATTGAGGCATCTCAAAGCGCTTCACGCCCAGGAATCGAACCCAGGTCCTCTCGATTGCGAGACGAGCGTGCTAACCGCTGCCCTACAGGACTCAAATCTGAGGGGGTAACGCTTTCCTTGTGTTGAAGTGTGGTGACTGTGCATTTGTAGGCAAACGTTGCAGCCAATTCACACCAGGAATTATCATGAGAAGAACGGCCAATTTATCTGGAGGATTGTTGAATGGCCCACTAGGTGAAACTCCCATCTTTATTTGAATAGTGCCATGGGATTTTTACTGGAACAGGCAGGCGGGACCTCAGTCTAACATCTTCCCCAGTAATCCGTTAGACTGCTGAGGCCCCAAAACCCAGACGTGGGGCTTGAACCCACAAAACCTCCGACCCAGAGGCAAGAGTGCTCCCGAGCTGAGGTTTTCAACGTGCCTTTGGGAAAAGAGAGGAGGAAATTGATGGGAGTTTCTTCAAAAAAACCTCAGGGGCAGAAAGATGCTAAAATACCACAATGAACATTCACAATGCAGATCACAATGGACCTGATTAATCTATCCCCGGAGTCAAAAAGTGCCTTGAATGCACAGCGAGAAGGCGTGTTTCATTCAGAGTTCGACGCTAGTTCATTCAGTGCTGCCTCGAAGTTAATTCTAGGTTGGTCGCGTTCAAGTGATAATTCACGTAAGACACATCATTTCCATTTGTCAAGTCTGTGAATCATCTGTCACCAACAGTGACAATTTCACTCTCTCCCACAGAGCAAACCACCTTCACAATGTAATCAAAATCCCACTATTCCCGATTAACAATCCCCTGCGTCTCAAATGGCTCCGTGGTGGACGCAATAGTCAGTTTGGATACATTTAATGTTGTCCTGAATATATGGAGATTACTGGTGAAAGTCTCTTCTCAAATCGGGCTTCAATTCAGCACCACCTGAACAAATACACAGCACCTGTAGTATTTCATACAGAAGACGGCAACTCCCAACAACGCAACGATTCACCCCACCACGCATTATCACATTGTAGAGCCGTCTCAAGGTGCTTCACGGAAGAAGTGCAGTGACTGTGTATGTTGTGGGCAAAACACGGCAGCCAATTGCGCACTGCAGAGTCCCACAAACAGTCGTGGAGTGAGCGACTCATTTTATTCGGATTGTCGGCCAGGAGACCCCCAGGAGAGAGAAACTCCCTTCTCTTTTCGAACAGTGCCGCAGGAACTTTAACATCACCTGAACAGGTAGAAGGGGTCCTTGGTTTATCTCTGACAATGCAAAACACCCCCAAGCACTGCAATGGAGGGACAGCTTAAACTATGTGATCTCAAGACCCGACATGGGGGCTTGAACCCGCAACATTCTGACTCAGAGGCAAGAGTGAGCCAGGCTGACAAACTAAGAGACCCTTGGCCTGGACATGTAGTGAGGCTGACACAGGGTAACAGGGGGCTTGAGTTGCTGTGCCATTTGTGATGGCAAGTTTCACTGCGCTCAGCGTAATCTTTAATGATCCTAAGACTGCCAGTTCAGACAGATACAGTTACAATGATCGTAGACGGATGTCAGGATGGCAATGATATATAACACACCCGGCCAGATTCACTTTATAGCTTTCTGTCCTGTACCATCCATCAATGTAATTGTCCCAGTAAAGCACGGAGACCGGTTTACAACTTGCATTGAATTCTGATTGCCCGGATTTTATAATCTTTCGTGCTGCGAAAGGAATTTCAATTAGTAACCGGAATCACATTAAAAATTAGGGGCATGAGGCAACAAACGACATGCTGGGGTAATCTAATTATCCCGTAAATTAACTACATAAAGGAAAACGGGCTGTTTTAGAGGGCTGGATAAATGGTGCATATGTTCAGAATGATGAGCACGCTCTCGTACCTGACCTCGACTCTGAAAGAAATGAAGAGCTAAACCTGGCAATTAAAATGCTAATTGATTTAGGAGGAAGCATGTAGCTATGTTGATGCCGACACCGTAGTTAGCAGAAGAGGCATGGTTTGAGCAAAATGGTTGACGCTGGAATGTATTTTGCTGGAATGGTTTGAAGGCAGCTATTCTGACTTTGAACGACATTAAACGGGTCGCTTTCCATTCAGCTGTAACTAGTCGCGAGTGTTGAGGTCAGACAAACAATCTCTTGCAAGAAATAAAATCTAAATCACCGTCTCTGACTAATATTAATTCTTGTGTTTGATATACCTCCCGTAATGTTAAACCGTCTCATGTGGCTGCCCGGGAAATTTCTGTAAACTGTGTATATTCTGATAGCATGGTTATATTAGTCCTTTGTAGGCAGCTGTGCAAAGGGAGACAGACAGGTTAAACTTTTAAGTTACAAATAGAAGCACTGAAGCTTTTAATATTTAAACACTTGTCGGAATAATTCCAAAAACAAACATTGGACTTGGCAGACAAGTGGGTGATTAAGTCGCTGACCTTAATGTTTATTGTATGAAGCTGCTGAGCATGAGAGAGATCAGTCAGTAAAACAGGCAAATATATTTTTTGCGATATGAATATTTCAGGTTATTGTCAGTAATCACATTCAAGTTATTTTACGAACTGTCATTTTTATAGCAGCTTCTTTTTGACAACTCAAAGTCAAGTGTAGTGACAGCCATTGTGCATACAGCAAGAGTTATCAGTAGTTAAGATTTGGTGAAAAGAAAACCAGCAAGGTCTACCCCACCCACAAGATACACGGACATTGTAGCCACCTACCCTGAAACATTCCTGTAACAAACTCAAGGCTATTGAACGCTTTGAGTACAGCACAGAGACGAGGCCACACACGCTGGTTAGAGAAAATAACTTCTTTGTCACAGTCTCTTCTCCCCGAATTGTAGGAAAAAAAACGATGAATTCAATTTATATCTGCAGGACACTGAGCAAGAGGCTTTCAGATGTATTGCAATTGCCAACACACAGCCTGTAACAAGATAACACCTGAAAGCCTGGCATTCTAAACCCCAACCAGATTGATGTGATGAACCCAACATATAAGATTGCTAACACTCAGCGAGGGTGATAGATCTCACCATTGAAGAACAACTGTATTTGTCTCAATGGCAGTGTAATGTAGTAAGAGAAGTTGTATCTGAATATAAACTGTCTAGTACTGCCTTGTTCAAGTCTTTCAGTTTAAATCAGACATGTTCCAGGAAAAGCTGCTTGAAATTGGACTGTGAGGGAACTTCATGCAATGGTTTTCTAGGAATCACTGCCCAAAACCAGTCTTTCTCACTAAATGGCCTCAAACAAGCAGGATGGTAGATTCCCTTATAAAATGTTCATTCCACCCACCCCATTCCATTTCAGGCCCACTCCCTCCCCCCCAATACTTCCTTGGATCTGCATTTTTTTAAAAGAGCACAGAGACAAGGCAGAACCAACAAACAAACACGAACGTCAACAGATGTATGTTCAGAAAACAAGAGAGACGCAGCTCACTTTAAAACCAGCCTGGACTTGTTGGCATCACATTCGGATTTTAATTCCATGCTGAATTAAGCATTATAATTATAACAGAAACAAGAGGCATCTTTGACCACGTTGTTTAACCACACATTTCATTTAAATAATTCTGTTTATTTCTTTAGAAATTCAAATATAGAAAAAAAATGTACAGTACAATCTTGCTTTGCAGTGAAGAGATAACTTTACAAACTATGGCTCAAGGTGTCATCCAATGTCAAAGGCCACTTTCCATTTATTTTCTCTTACTGACCTCAGTGTCCCGGCAGTACAGGGCTATAGTTCGTCGTGCCTGAATGGCTCTGCGCTGGGTTTGATGAAGACGCCCTCCATGACTGTCCAGTACCCGTCACGGTTGGGGCTGGACATGCCATGTACCTCCCGTTGTCCGCGGATGGGGTGGCCAAACTGCTCGCCTGTTACGGTCAGGAAGACCTCGGTGCCCACATGTTTGAAACGCACATGGTCGTCTCGCTCCCAGTGTATCCCGCTACACTGAACTATCCACACGTCCAGATCATCCCCTTCCTCGTTCTCACCAAAAGCACTCACCTCCTGGGCAATAAAGGGACATTGCACAATTAGCATCTGTACAACAGCCTTCAGACTTGGGGGAGGGTCTCGGAGCACTTGCACTGAAGCAATCACAATCCCAAACCTTAAACATCCTTACATAAAAGAGGGGACTGGTTTCAGATGAACACTAGCCCGCTGCACGCTCCCTCAATACCTGAGGAATTCAGCTTCACAATGGTAAATCAAAAAGGGGGGGTAAACACAAAACTTTAATAAATAATTATTTTATGACCTGAATAAGCTTGAAATGCCCATGTGCATCATACCCGACTTGCTATTTTTTCAGTTATAGGCAGCCGTATACCATATTGAATATTAATGCTATTACCCACTAGTTTCTTTAAAATCACGTCACCTGGTTTCCAGAAAGTGGCGACTGGAAGTGGTGACTGTGCAGGTTCCTTCCAGTGTTCACGTGAGTCAGTCGTATTTGTTGGCCACATCTGATGGGCAGTCCTCGCTGGCACACCTGGGATGGCTTGGCTCGCACTCGCCAGTAACTGTTGCCGTCATCTGAAGCCTCCACTCCAGTCACTGACTGCTGCCCACTTCCTTTTAAACATTAAGAGCGGTTAGAGTCAAGTTATTTTGCAAGCACTCCTCCGAAAAACTAAAATAGAATTTTGAACCAAAACACAACAGTAAAATCGGATGACTCGCAGAGTATTTTATACTATTTATATATGGTATTGTGAACTCTGTATGTTTGTAAGAATCAACGGAACAATGTAAAAGATTACAAGTATGAGTGAGACTGCAGTACTGATAAACCACTGACTAATTTCCTTTAAGTATTATTAGGTCAATTTAACTTTTGAAGAGAAGAAATGAGAATTAGCAAGTCTCAAACACACTTCTATTCAGGTAATAAAATGGATATAAATAGCAAATCTGAATATCGGACTATATGTTTGTGTTCATCACAGACCTTCATGGGAATGTTAGTAGAAGTAATAATAGTCCTTGCATTTGATATAGCGCTTTTCATGTCTTTGAGACGTCTCAAAGCGCTTCACAGAATAGACTGTAAAGTGAATTGACTGCATATTTTGTGGGCGAAACGCAACAGCCAATTGCGCACAGCAATGACCACACAGTCGGGGTTTGAAGTGACCAATTTATTATTGTTTTTTTTCTTGAGGGATTATCATCAGGCGTGTGGAGTAAGGAAACTTGCCCAAGGTTTCACACTGTCGTGGTTCACCCATAACCACCCTTGGAAATATCTCAGTGTAGTTATGTTGGAAATGTTTTTTTCTGAGGCTCCATCTCAGTATTGCATCATGTCACTCATTGGTGAATGTTCCATTTCCCACAGTGAACATCTAAATGACCGATCTGAGCAGAAAGCACCAACTCTCAGTGCCAGGTCACAATCACTCATTGTACACCCGGTGATGGCTTATTGGCACCCGATAGCAACAGGGTTTATATTGCCAAACTCCTCTCAGGCGTCAGAAGAACAAGATTTTATCCCATTAACCTGAGCCATGTTCAGCCTGTGACCTGACCCGCAGTTCTCGCAAGCCTCCCGTCCTCTTCACATAATAGGGCTTGTTCCTTTTACATTTCTTTCAGATGCTAAACTAACTACTGACAAAAGACAGGTTTTCTGGCTGACTGCACATGATATGCTAACTAATGCTATATGTATGTGTCTTGTAATGCAGCCATCACAGCACCATAATGGAGGTAAATACAACAACAAAATTACATTTGTATAGCGCCTTTCACGTCGGAGGAAGTCCCAAGGCACTGAAATGAGCCAGCATCAGCCCCTGTTATGTTCTGGATATGGGTGGGAGCAGCATCCATACAAATCAGTTATGTGCTTTTGTGTCCCGTTTCTCCCACAAACATCAGAAGCACAAAAGTTACAAGTGTCTATGCCCACAGGTCAATTCCATAGCACTGAATGCCAAATAAAGTGCTTCTGAAATGTCAACATCTCAAAATGACATGATTTTCCTCCTAGAAAAGAGAACCATAAATCAGGCTCCACCTGCCTTACGCACCACTTATCTGAGCACTTGATACAGTACACAGTGTTCCCGAGTCCAACAAAAGACACTATTAAGGTTCTCCCTGAAGCCAGAAGCTCAGAGAATAAATTAACCTCCGCATTCTTCCACTCACTTAACAGGAGTGCACTGATGAATGCCTTCAGCATCGCTGATTTTAAAATGTGGAAATGAGATTCAAATATTTTCCCAGCTGCTCGATATCTAATGAAATCTTTGGTTAGAGAATATGAGACAGTTTTTTTCGTCACTCATAGTCACATTGTCTCTCTGAGGCTCCACAATAAGACAGCAATGTGAAACAGGAAACCTAGTTGCTCCTGATTTAGCCACGTAGCATTGTGTGTGTAATACACACCTGTGAGTGCAGCTTTGTGCATGACACCATAATGGGGTATTTGTACTCAAAAATGTTATCAAAGAGATGTTTGCTCAACTGCCTCTTTAGCATTAAAGAACAATCTGTATTGAATCAGGAACCTTTAACATCCACATAACATCGGGGAGGTTGGTTCAATGTCTCATCCAAAGGACAGTGCCTCCAACAAAGCGGCCATCCCGCAGCACCGCACAGGAGCGTCGGCCTGGACTGAGCTCAGAGACCCCCGCCGCGGGGGCATGAACCCACAAATCTTCTGACACGAGAGGCGAGAGAGTGAGCGGACACTAACCACGGGCGGGGGGGGGGGCTTGGAATCACACGGTGTGTCAGCTGACGCTCCCGCGCAGCCCTCGGACGAGACGTTAAAGCGAGGGTCTCCGGCAGTCTGCCTGTGCGGGTGGGCGTTAAGCCATCGCGGCGCCACTGGAGAAGGGAAGCGAGTTTCTCTCTCCCCGTGTCCTGCCCGACAATCCCCCCAACCCCCGCGCCCTCCCCCCAATCACCCCGTGCCCCCCCCACTCCCCCCCCACCCTACCCCCAACCCCCCGCGTCCTCCCACCCTCCCCCCACTCCCCCCCCACCCTACCCCCCAACCCCCCGCGTCCTCCCACCCTCCCCCCCACTCCCCCCCCACCCTACCCCCCAACCCCCCGCGTCCTCCCACCCTCCCCCCAATCCCCCCGCGCCCTCCACCCCAATCACCCCGCGCCCCCCCCACCCTCCACCCCAATCCCCCGCGCCCTCCACCCCAATCACCCCGCGCCCCCCCCACCCTCCACCCCAATCCCCCCGCGCCCTCCACCCCAATCACCCCGCGCCCCCCCCACCCTCCACCCCAATCACCCCGCGCCCCACCCACCCTCCCCCCCAATCCCCCCGCGCCCTCCACCCCAATCACCCCGTGCCCCCCCACTCCCCCCCCACCCTACCCCCAACCGCCCCGCGTCCTCCAACCCTCCCCCCCAATCCCCCGCGCCCCCCAACCCCCTCCCCAATCCCCCCCACAAACAAATAAGAATCACTCCGCGCGGCGCATCGCCGTGTGGGCAACCGGCTGCCGCCTTTCGCCGCGCGAAACACGCGCACAGTCACTCCGCTTGACAGCGCGTCCCGCCACGCGAGTTCGAGGCGTCTCGGCGGCGTAATCAGTAAAGGCGCCGCGTGGAATACCAGCACTGTTGTTGTTGTTGTTGTTGTTGTTATTATTATTATTGTTCTAGAGATGCCGGGGTTATTATTCGCCGTTAAACTAACACCGTGAAGGGGGTCCTGATCTGCGCCAATCGTAAGGAACCCATCTCCCACTCCCACTCCCACACTCCCACCGCCGGATTCCTCTCCGTTAAAAAAAAACTTCGGTGAAGTTTTGACCGAACCGACAACCGTCACATCAACACCGACAGGAACTCATGTGAGGGACGTGGGGAGGGGGCGGAGGGGGGGCTGTTTATCCCCAGGGGAGAGGGAGGGGGGGAGGGGGGAGGGTGAAGGGGGCCCTCGGGGAGATCGCTTACCGGAGCCGTACTTGACGTCGTGCGAGTGCAGGCGGACGTTGTGCCGGGTGTTGAGCAGCTTGAGCACCGAGCCGCAGGTGACCTGCTGGAGCTCGGTGGCGAGCGCCTGCCCCGCCAGCAGAGCGCACACAGCCAGCGCCAGCCCGAGCCCCAGCCCGAGCCCCCGCCGCCGGCTTCCCGCGCTGGCGCCCACCGCGCGCATCGCCCACCAACTGTCAACCGTCAACCGCCACCCGCGCGCTCGCGAGCCCCGGGGAGTCGGCGGTGGTGATGGGGGGGAGGGGCAACGACCCGGCTCCAGCCAATCAGCGCCCGCCAGCGGCTCACTCTCTCCGTTCCCATCGGTCCGCTCCGTACGCCCACCTCTCGCTTCCACCAATCAGAGCCCGCCAGCGACCCTCTCGCCATTCTCATTGGTCCCTCCGCACGTCCGTCAGATACGCCGCCCCCGCGTCCCTCATCGCTCCCGCCAATCAGCGACCGCCAGCAACTTCCACTCTCCCTTCTCATCGGTCTTCTCAACACCTGCCGGTGATTGGACGCCGTGGCGCGCGGGGCGGGGCGAGGGGGAGGGTGAGAGCAGGGAGAGAACATGATTGGCTGTCAGGCGCGTCAATCAATTGCCGGTCCGACGTTGAAGGCGGGCAGCCCTGGTCCTCTGATTGGACACTGGGCTCTTGCGGATCAGCCAATGGTGGAGTCGCTTTCATGTGCGGGCGCCTATGAATGAACAACACACGCACAGAGTAGTAGTAAACCAGTCACATGGTGACACAGCTCACTTAAAGGGGCAGAACCACACACACACACACCCACACAGTCACTACACCTTACAGTCTACCCTGTGATGTATGTCTTTGAGACGTCTCAATAATTACACAAAATACGCAGTCACTTCACTTTGCAGTGTATCCTGTGAAGCGCTTCGCGACGTCTCGACGACGTGTTAAGGAAGGCTCCGTGTCACATGCAATGATTATTGTTATTATTATTGTTATTATTATTGTTAGTATTATTGTTAGTATTATTGTTATTATTATTGTTAGTATCTGGGTCTTGCTTTCTGCTGCCATGAATAATAAATAGGCAATAAAATAATAATCCTCGCATTTGATACGGCGCCTTATCACGTCTTCTCGACCTCTCAAAGCGCTTCACAGAATATGCTGTAAAGTGAATTGACTGTGTATATTTGTGGGCGAAACGCGGCAGCCGATTGCGCACAGCGGTGTCCCCACAAACAGTCGTGGGTTGAAAATGAACAATCTTTTTTGTTTTGTCTTTTGGAGGGGATTATTATCAGGTGTGTGGAGTAAGGAAACTTGCCCAAAGTGTAGTGACTGTATATTTTGTGGGCGAAACACGACAGTCAATTGGGTACAACTCGGCAGATAATAATAACGCTATCAATAATAAACCTTACATTTTATACAGCGCCTTATCGTTCCATGTGTAATCTTTTTAACGTATTATTAATAACAATAATAATCATTCCTTTTGACTTAGCACCTATCACAGCGAAATGCCTCAAAACATCTCAAAGAGCTTCACAGCTGTGAAGTGTAGTGACTGTGTATTTGCAGGCGAACACGGCAGCCAATTTGTTCCCCCGCCCCCTCAAACAGCCATGACGCAAAAAGCTCTCTTTATTTTTTTTTCCCTTTATAAAACAATCTAATTACTTACAGCTAACAATGGTACAAACCAATCAAAACAGAGAAGGGCAATCCTCCCCCATCACCACTACCCCCGAAATAAGGCGAGTAATAAAATAAATGTGGGAGTCTCTCTCTTCTTTTTCTCTCTTGTCTCTTCTCTCTCTCTGTGTCTGTCTCTCCCAGCTATCGCTCTCTCCTGTCTCTCGTAAACGCAATCACTTTTAAACCCTTGAGTGACACCAGTTGCAAGCAAGCGAGGCCGCGTTTGGTTTCATGGCGGAGGAGAGGAGAGGAGAGGAGGTTCGAGGCGGGAATGGAAACGGGTGCGGGCTGTGTGTGCGTGCGCGTGTGTGTGTGTGTGTGTATAACCGGTCATAGCTTTGGCAGCACGGTGGGGTGGGTCCCGTGAGCTTCGACTGAGATCTTGACGGAGGTCCTGTGTCGCCCGTTCCGCCCGCTGCTCACGTCCGATCTGTGGTCCAACGTGTCGTAGAAAGACGAAACGTGTTTCCGAGTCAATATGGGCAAGACCCCGTCCGACCGGCAACCGGACGGAACGAACTGGAACTGATGGGCTCCCGAGTTGTTCGGGGAAGCTCTGCAACTGCGGTCAGCGTAAGGGTAGGAGGAGCCCGTCCGCGGGGCCCGGCGGTTGGAGCTCAACGTGGTTCGGGCGCTGGTGGACGTCCCTTCCTTGCTGCGTTGGGAGCTCCTGGTTTCACACAGACGGCCTCGGATCACCTGATCGTAGGCTCCCACTCCCGACACGGACACACACATGCCCAGCTTGTTGGCCAGCGCCTCCTGCCTCCTCAGCCTGTTCATGAAGAGAGTGAAGGTGGCGGAGAAGAGGGAGTGGGCGATGCGGGCCTTGGCCTGCTCGCTCCTCTCCACTGGCGCCTTCCTGCAGGGTAACTCCAGCAGTGACTTGTATTGGAACTGGTTGAATTTCCTCTCCTGTGAATAATAATAATAATAATAATAATCTTTGCATTTGATACGGCGCCTTATCACGTCTTCGAAATGACTCAAAGCGCCTTCGCAGAATATACTGTAAAGTGTAGTGGCTGTATATTTCGTGGGCGAAACGCGGCAGCCAATTGCACACAGCAGGTTCCCCACAAACAGTCGGGGATTGAAATGGCCAATTTATTCTTGTTTTGTTTTCTTGAAGGATTATTATCAGCCGCGCGTGTGTGGAGTAAGGAAACTTGCCCAAGGTTTCGCCCTGACCGGCCGGGAATCGAACCCAGGAGGCGAGAACTCTAACCACTGAGCGATACGACTTCACAAGAATGGGAAGAAGCCTCGTGAGTGACAGAGAATAATAATAATAATAATAATCCTGGCTTTGATATAGTGCCTTATCACATCTCTGACAATGCAGTGCTCTCTCTCACCACCCACCCCCATCCAGCACTGTGCTGGAGTGTCAATCCAGGCCTAGTGATAAGGCGCTATGTCAAGGATTATTATTATTATTATTTATTGTGTATTTTGTGTGCAGTGTGTGAGGATACCAGTGTGTGTGTGTGTGTGTCTACGAGTGTATCAGTGTGTGAGTGTGTGTATTGTGTGTGGGTTTTGTGAATGAGATGTGAGTGAGTGAGTATGCGTGTAATTGAATGTGTGTATGTGTGAGCGAGTATGTGTATGAGTGAATGTGAATGAGTGTGTGTGAGTGAGTGAGTGAGTGAGTATGTGTGTGAGTGAGTGAGTGAGTATGTGTACGTGTGAGTGAGTATCTGTGAGTGTGTGTGTGAGTACGTGTGTGAGTGATTGAGTATGTGTACGTGTGAGTGAGTGAGTGAGTGAGTGAGTGAGTAAGTGAGTATCTGTGTGAGTGAGTGAGTGAGTGAGTGAGTGAGTGAGTGAGTATCTGTGTGAGTGAGTGAGTGAGTGAGTGAGTGAGTGAGTGAGTGAGTGAGTGAGTGAGTGAGTGAGTGAGTGAGTGAGTGAGTGAGTGAGTGAGTGTGTGTGTGTTAAGTGGTGGTGTTGAGTTTGGTTCAGGGGAAGCCACCTCCTGACCACAGAGGCCCGTGGGGTTCCTACACCTCTCACAGAGCAGAATGTGGATTGTATTGACCTGCTCTCAGTTGGGTTGTAATCTGCTGTACTGCTACTAATAATAATCCTTGCATTTGAGCGCTGTATGAGACACACAGTCTCACACACACGCATACACATTCACACTCAACAACAACAACTTGCACTTATTTAGCGCCCTCCACCCAGGGTAGTGTCTCAAAGCGCTTAACAGTGGCGGAGCCCATCACTCACACACACAGACACACACATACAGACACACACACACTAACACGCACACACACAATCACACGCACACAGCCACACACACAGTCACACTCACACAGACACACACACACACAGACATACACTAACACACACACACACACAGTGCACACAGTGAGCTCACCTTCTTTGCCCTTTTGGGTTTGGGTTTGGGTTTGGGTTTGGAGACCGTGCGACTCTCCTGCTTGATGTGGAAGCTGAGCCTGTCTGAGGCTGTGGTGAGAACCGGGGACCTGGGACGCTGCTGGGACAGGTCCCCGGTGTCCAGGCCCTGGTCTGACGCCATGCTTTTTTTTGAGCTCCTGGAGACTCTGAGGACCTCGCTGTGGATCGAGCTTTGGTCAGCGATTTTCTCAGTGATCAGCTTCTCCACCAGCTCCCTCACCACATCCTCCAGCACCTTCAGGAACTTGTGTTCCTCCAACACGATCACCAGGTCTTCAGAGGAGGCGGTGGATGAGGTCTTTTCCTTCTGTTTCTTCTCGGCTTTGGGTGACTCGGGCTTGGGGCTGGAGTGATCCACAGGCTCGCCGTAACTGCTCACCCCCAAATCGTTCTCCTCCATGGACTCCGAGGTTTGGTTCACAGAAGACAGCAGGGACAAGGCATTAAGGTCATCTGGGTTTTCCGAAGAATCCCCTCTAATCTCCTCCTCCAGGCTTTCAGAATATTCTCCCTTCGATTCCTGACCTTCCGACTCCCCGCTCTGAAGATTGTTTGAGTCCCCCAGAACCTGGAAGAATAATATTAATAATAATGATAATAATCCTGGCATTTGATACAGCGCCTTATCACGTCGTCGAGACGTCTCACGGCGCTTCACGGGATACATTGTAAAGTGGAGTGAGTTTGTGTTTTGTGGGCGAAACACGGCAGCCAATTGCGCCCAGCGACGTCCCCACAAACAGTCGTGGATTGAGCGACAAAATGATGATTATTACATTTCTTGGGAAGGATTATTACCCAAGGAAAAACCATCCGCCAATCGACTAACAACCGGGTTCCTACTTACTTCTGGGTAAACAGAGGAGTTACCACTTTGCTACAGGATAATGTGAGGCGGCTTTGAGACGTGAAAGACGCTGTATTGAATATAAGGATTATTATCATGGGATTACGTCGCCAAATGTGACTACGAGGCACACGATCATTGGGTAAAACAAAGTGGACTTACTTTCTCCTCTGACGAACGTTCATCATCAGCGTAATGGTCGGACATGTTGTGGCTTCAAAT